ATATATACACATACATGTATTTATTTGTTTTCAAATTTACATATGCACATGGGTTAAAACAAGCAACCGAATTTGGTGTCCAAGAGTGAACCCACCGCAGAGTTGCAAAAGGGTCTATTAACCAGGCAATGTCCACGCTAGAGCCGCATGCAACTCATGGGACTGTGGGATTGCCGGTGCGTTATGCTTGATGCATCGAATCTAATTGGAAAAAACTATAAGGAGGTGATGTTTTTCAGCGCCCCATGTTCAACTGGCGATCCTCAGATGAGTTATTACCTTCACCCTACTACTGACCCCACCCCGCAAAGCGCCGATACAGTGATCTATCTAAAACTGTTTCTGTATAATTATAATGGGCTTATACATTGTATTAGGTTCTATGATTACCGCGGGCAGGAGGAGCTTGCATCGTGAACTGGCTGCGTCAGAGACATCCTGGGTTAGGCTGGCTGATATTGTCCGGTGGTACAATAATGTAGCATTTCTACAGATCAAACTTGATATTTCTCAGCATCGAACATTTTCAAAGCCCTGGGAAAATCACAGACCAGTTTTCAGTCAGCTTGATCACGCAGCATTTTAAACTGGCCCAACATTTTCGCTGGCCCCAGATTTTAGCTGGCCAAACAAAAAGCATGGCAACGGTCAATGTGCTTCGACAGGTGGTAGATGCCATGCAGGACGTACACCCTGCTGATCCCTCGTGGAATTCCGTTGGCAAGGCTTTGGACATGCACCCCGATCTGCAGGAGGTGTACCTGCGGACGGTGACGCGTGATAGGGGTACCTTTTGTGACCTTCGCGGCCTGCACTACAGCTTCACTCTTAAGTTTCTTGATGGAGTTTCGAGCATGGAGATTTTTAGCTATGAAGTAGATTCAGGATTAGAGTGGCTGATGGCCAAATTGCCAGTTTTGTGCAACTTTTTTCACTGGCTGGTTTCGATCGCCAGATTCTTTTTTGCATTGCCTGGCAACATGCCGGCACACACACACAGAGATCCAGACTCATGATGTAAACACATGATGAAAACTGCTCAACCCCTCTTCGAAGGTCCGCAATGGAGATCATGGGGGAGAGCGTCAGAAGCAAGGCCATCAAATGGCAGGAGGAGAACATGAACTTAGATGCCGTGGAGAGTTGCCGGATTTTGAACACAAAGTACATGACCGAGGCCAGGTGAGATTGTAGCAGTGAAAATTTGTGTTCATCACTGATGGCTGTAAATACATGATAAAAAAAAAGTATGTGGAGCTGGATGGATCTTGAATGATATAGATATATACCGGTAGTACCGCACGAGGCCGTGGCGGAAGTTTCAAAAATAGGAAACGTATAAGAGAGGTTGGCTGTTGTGAATCAAGGATGGCAGAGCCAATCCACTGATGGACCGAAAGGGGTTTGGAATTGTGTTTTTTGGAGTGGTTGCAATGGTTGCGGTGGTCACCTCAACCACAACTGCTGGATGTAAAGTGGTGTAGCGCAGTTGTAGTTGTAGCTGTGCTGTAGTGTAGTCGAGTTGTAATGGTAATGTAGTGTAATTAGTGCCGCGTAGTCCCAGTTGCAGTTGTAGTTGTGCTGTGGGGTAAGGAGTGTAGTGTCGTGCCGTGTAGTGTAGTTTAGTGTAAAGTAGTGTCATGTGGTGATGTGCTCTACATACTGTTGTGTATTGTTGTGTGGTGTAGCTTAGCGTAAAGTAGTGTAGTTGTCGCTGTATATAGCGTAGTGTAGTGTATAATTAGTGTAGTGTAGTGTTGTGCAATGTAGTGGTAGTCGTAGTTGCAGTGGCAGTTGCGGTTGTAGTTGTAATGAAATGAAACCAGTGAAGTGTAGTGTACTGTTATGCAGTGTCGTCGTGATTCTTTTTGCATTTGTAGTTGTAGCGTGCTGCAGTGTAATTCTCGTGTAGCGTAGTGCAATGTAGTGCAGTACTAATTGTAGTTGCAGAAGTAGAAGTAGTAGAAGTAGTAGTAGTAGTAGTAGTAGTAGCAGTAGTAGCAGTAGTAGTAGTAGTTGTTGTTGTAGTTGTTGTTGTAGTAGTAGAACCAGTAGTAGTAGTCGTAGTCGTAGTTGTAGTCGTGCTGGTGGTGGTGGTAGTAGTAGTAGTAGGAGTAGGAGTGGGAGTAGGAATAAGAGTAGGAGTAGCAGGAGTAGCAGGAGTAGCGCAGGAGTAGCAGGAGTAGCAGGAGTAGCAGGAGTAGCAGGAGGAGGAGGAGTAGTAGTAGTGGTAGTCGTGGTGGTGGTGGTAGTAGTAGGAGTAGGAGTGGGAGTAGTACTAGTAGTTTTTGTAGTAGTGCTCCCAATTTCCACAAGTGCTCCAAGCATGGTGTGTTTTGTACATTTTGACTTCAACATGTGCTTCGCGCCACAATTGCGCGCACTTTTTCAACATCCCAACTACCAAAACTGGTTCAAACATTTGGTGTTTTAGCACTCTGACCTCGAAACTTACTTCGCGCCACAACGGCATACACTTTTCCAACATCTCAATTCCTAAAAGAACCCTTAAGCTGAGGTGCCTTGTACATTTTGACTTGGAAATGTGCTTCGCACCGCACCGGCGTGCAGCTGATAATCTCTCATTTGCCCAGATGGCTTTGCACCCGCCGCTTTGGCAAGATTGCTTTTCGACCTTCCGATCTTCTTTCTTCTTCTCTTCTCTTCTCTTCTCTTCTCTGACACTTCCCACCTCTGCTTTTCATCTGTCAATATTGTCGGAAGTTTGACTTCTAAACTTCCTTCGCTGATATACGTACATAATTTGCAGGATGGGTGGCGCATCGCCACGAACTTCATGTGGCGTGGGACAGGGGTCGTGTGCCGCTTGGTGCATCCCGACCGGGAGTGCTTCCGCTTAGTTGAAGGCACACCCACGCTGATGGTGGCGGGTGTGGGGTTTGAACCGGAGCACCGAGACTAAATGTGACGCACCATGCACTGTGCCAGTGCACTGCTCGGAGATTGGACGGTTTTCAAGGCAGTGAGCCAGACCACCGGAACTACGTAGCTTTGACGCAGCGCACTGTGCCCTGCACGCGCTGTGCGGAGATTCGATGGTTTTTGAAGCACTAAGCCGGCCGACCGAAAATAGATGTGACGCACTGCATGCACATGCACTGCGCGGAGATTGGACGGTTTTTGAAGCATTGAAAATTTCAAGTCTGCACTTTGAACTTGGTGTCACTGTTGAGTTTTTAGATGCTAACGTTTTTTTTTCCATTCAGGGCTCTCTCACCAAATCCTCACCTCACGAGTGGCACCTTGAATGCGTGATCCTGCCCTTAATTCAAGGCGGAATGAAGTTTGCAGACACCATTCAGAGGCATCCCAACTTGAAGGTCACAAACAAGTATCAAATTTGTTTTTCAAGAAGTGCAAGAAGTTGCAAAGGCATGCAAATATCATGGACACATGCGCGCATGTGACCACTGACTGAAACGATACTCGCATATATCCAAGCTCCACCAATGGACGACCGCCAGAAGAACTACCTGAAATCCCTCATTACTAGTGCTGTTAGAGATGAGTAACTGAGTAATTCCTCGCGACATTTTTGAGAAGTAGTTGTTTTGTTGGAGATGAGTATAATTCCTCGAGAAATCTTTGAGAAGTACTGTTTTGTTAGAGATGAGTAATTCCTCGAGGGAGATCTTTGAGAAGTAGTGTTGTTGGAGACAAGCAATTCCTCGAGAGAGATCTTTGAGAAGTAGTGTTGTTCGAGATGAGTAATTCCTCGTGAGATCTTTGAGAAGAACTGTTGAGAGAGACGAGTAATTCCTCGAGAGATCTTTGAGAAGTAGTGTTGAGAGAGACGAGTAATTCCTCGAGAGATCTTTGAGAAGTAGTGTTGTTAAAGATGAGAAAATTCCTCGAGAAGTCTTTGAGAAGTAGTGTTGCTATAGAGTTGAGTAATTCCTCGAGAAATCTTTGAGAAGTAGTGTTGTTAGAGATGAGTCATCCTCGAGAAAGATCTTTGAGAAGTCCTGTTGTTCAAGATAACTAATTCCTCGAGAGATCTTTGAGAACTATAGTGCAGTTAGAAATGAGTAATTCCTCGGGAGATCTTTGAGAAGTAGTGTTGTTATAGAGATGAGTAATTCCTCGAGAGAGATCTTTGAGAAGTAGTGTTTTTGGAGACAAGTAATTCGTTGAGAGATCTTTGAGAAGTAGTGTTGTTAGAGATGAGTAATTCCTCGAGATCTTTGAGAAGTATAGTGTTGCTATAGAGATGAGTAATTCCTCGAGACATCTTTGAGAAGTAGTGTTGTTATATAGAGACGCGTAATTCCTCGAGACATCTTTGAGAAGTAGTGTTGTTAGAGACGCGTAATTCCTCGAGAGATCTTTGAGAAGTAGAGTGTTGTTAGAGATGCGTAATTCCTCGAGAGATCTTTGAGAAGTAGTGTTGTTATAGAGACGAGTAAGTCCTCGAGAGATCTTTGAGAAGTAGTTATAGAGATGAGTAATTCCTCGAGAGATCTTTGAGAAGTAGTTGTTTTATTAGAGATGAGTAATTCCTCGAGAGTTCTTTGAGAAGTAGTTGTTTTGTTAGAGATGAGTAATTCCTCGAGAGATCTTTGAGAAGTAGTGTTGTTAGAGATGAGTGATTCCTCGAGAGATCTTTGAGAAGTAGTGTTGTTAGAGGTGAGTAATTCCTCGAGAGATCTTTGAGAAGTAGTGCTGTTAAAGATGACTATGACTAATTCCTCGAGAGATCTTTGAGAAGTAGTTCCATGGTGTTTGCTGGGTTTCACCACTCGCAAACGCAGTTGAAGGCATGCAGGTGTTACGTATGTACCTCACATGCCAATGTTTCATCACTGGATAGATCGCACATGTGTTTCATCACTGGATAGATCGATAGTTGAAAGCATTGCAAGAGGTGATGTTGTTGATGTAGTCGGCGCAACTCTGCAAGGGGTATTTGCCTATGCAAGATTTGACCAACCGATACAAAGGCCCAACCCTTGTTGAAAACTGTCCGCTCTGTATTTGCAATGGCAGCTGCTGGCGATGGTGATGGCAATGGTGAGGAGGATGGCGATCGAGATGATTGGGGCTCTTGCGCCATTAGCATCGTGACTGTGCACAAGATCTCGATTGACAAGCGCCGGTGGTTTCCGGAGGTCCAAGAGCATCATGGCAGGACCTTCGTCACGGTCTCCAAGTCAGATGCGGCCCTGTGTTTGCTGGTGACTGGCAAGGCCCAGAATAGGCACAGTGCCCGTGCATCCCACGACCTGAATGTGGTCTGGTGGGCAGAAATGCGCCAGAGGAGCAACTCAGCCCAAAACACGTTGAGAACCTGTTGGGTTGTAAAAGACATTCAGGTGCCACATGTAGGGCTCTGTTTTGGTTTGCGATAGTTTGTAGACATGCCTGGGCACGTGTATACATACTGAGGACATGATGCCTGCACTGCCCTGCTTCGGGCTCACATGTTGGCGGCCGTCAAGGAAGGTGAGCCGGTGCCCAGGTTCAGGCAGGCGCGAGAAGACGACAAGTTCCTCGTGGCAAAGGACCTGGAGGTAAGCCTCCCGCCATTCACCGCCTCCGACGGCACGCAGTTCGCATCAATCAGATGCAGAATGATGTGGTCCGTCAAGTCGAAAGACCTACACATCGAGCTCACCGAGACCAACCTGAGGTACATCTTTGCTGCCTTAGAGTGCTCTGAGAGAGAAGAGAAAAAGGAAAAGGGCACTAGCAAAGATGATGGGCAAGATGCACCAAGATCACCCAGGAAGAGACGGAGGCTGAAGAGAAGGAAGAGCCAGGAGGCGAATGGAGCAGAAGCAGAAGCAAGCAATGACGACACTCGCTGACCGGCAAAGGAGCTGCTGTAGCATTGCATCGAGAGCTTTCGTGAGTTTCAGATGGATGAATCATATCTGGCAGTGGTGTTTGCAGACCTCTGGAAAATTGAGTTCATACAGAATCCATGCACACGCGAGCAAATGCCCAGCGTGCTTTCGAAAGTGTCTGCATTTATTGGTATGCATTCTTTGTGCTAGCTTGTGAGTCCATGTGATTTGCCAAAGCAGCATTTCTGAACAGATGCCCATGAAGGCCCGTCCTTCCCCTTGAAGCCAGTGCGTGGATCCTAAAGGACCCAGTTCGAATCGTTGCACCACATATACATTTTTGAATCTTTCGTGCATGCGAAACTGTTGGCGCCATTTAGTCCACAACTGCACAACGATGTTCAGTGACGGCGTTCCAGGGATCATGGCTTTCCACAAGCATGTCCAACGCATGTTGGGCTACATCAGCTCGCATGCATTGCGATGTAAACGTTCCACCCCAGTGCCACGCAAGCCCAGGCTCAGCATAGGAAGCTCTTTCTGCAGGCGGGGTAGTGATTTTTAGGACAATGCTTGGCGTTCTTACCTCGAACCCGCAAAATAAAGGAAAGGTGTTTTTTTTTGGACCTTTGGCAGTGGCAAACCAACGGGACAATTACAAGACCCAGTCATGAGTCTCGAATAGTTTATTGGTTTCTGAGGATTTGTCATGGTTCTAGTTTATCCATATTATCATTACATGATTTAAATTGTAGCAGTTTTTTGAATACAAAAACTCGTCACACATGTCAATGTCGAGTGCGGTATTTCCAGCACCTGCACCGTTGTCAGGACCTATGCGTTGATCAACAGGAGCCTCAGAATCCTGAGTTGCGACCATCACAACTCCAAAAAAAACGTCATTTCACATCAATTTCAAATATTTTTGGGGCTCCAAAAAAATTGAAAAGTATAGCTACAGCCTGTCTTTTTAAGAGATTTGTGGTTGCCTTGAGAACTAAAAAATTCAAAAAATGACGTTAAACTGTCAAAATGCAAAAAAAAAAGGGCAGCATTCCCCCCTGTATCATAGTATCTGGGGTGATGTGACGCTAGGAGATTTTAGGTTATCTATTGAGATTTTGTGCTTCCACAAGTTTTCGATTTGAAAAGTTGTGCTTCCACAATTTTTCAATTCAGAAAGTTGTGGAAGCACATTTTTTTTTAATATCCATATTTTAAAACTTGTGGAAGAACAGATTTTCAATTTGAAAATTTGTGGAAGAACAATTTTTTGAAATTACACTTGTGTTTCCACAAATTGCCATATTGGTTGAATTCAAGACTTTGTCATTCTCGGCCGTCCTTGGTGGTCAATTTTAGTTGGGATGAGAAGCGCGATTTGTCCTTGGAACTGCTCCATGCCCACTCAGTTGCCCATTGTTCTGAGATACACCTTCTCTGCAAAGTTGCTCCGAAACATTGGAGTGCCGGGCGGCCCAATGATCATAGGGGATGTGCTGGGCAATTTGAAGGCATGTGAAAACTTGTAGGTTCAACGATCATACAAAGTTTGCTGACGCATATGTGGGTTTCTACAAGAGATCTTGCATGGGCGGCCACATGAAGCCAGTGTCAAAACAGCACATGAACTTTGATTCACTTTTGCTTCAGCTTGCTCACACATATGTTCAACCATCTCTCCAAAAGTCTTGCTGGCACAAATTGGCATAGACAGACACAGTTTTATTCTCATTTTCCTTGGATTGCATCTCCGGACCAAGGTCAGAAACAAACAGCCTGTGTTGGTCGACTTGCAAGTGGATTGACAGGAGAGGGTTGGCATGGGGCATGGCTTGACGGCTGACGCTTTGATGGGGCATGTTCATGAGAAGTCAAGAAGGCATCATAAGTGGGTGCATGAGGGAGTTCAACCATCTCCCCAAAAGTCTTGCTGATATGGCGTTGACATCCACAGTTTTATTCTCATTTTCCTTGGAATCCAGGACAGAAACAAACAGCGTGCGTTGGTCGATCTTCAAGTGGGTTGACAGGAGAGGGTTGGGATGGGGAATGGCTTGACGGCTGATGCTTTGATGGGGCATGTGCATTCAGTTGAAAGTATGGGATTTTATAAAACCACCCAGCATTGGCTGCTTCATGTTGAGTGCGCATGGAAGGCTACACGTGTGCGCGTTTCTGTAGACGGATGGCTCAAAGCCAGTCAATGCTCATGGCACCCATGTACAGAGCAGGCGCTCACACACACTCACATTGCATTGACCTTTTTTGGTCGCCCCAGACGTATATTTTTCCATTGTTCCACTTCTTAGAGTAAAACTTCAATTGTTCCACTTCTAGAGTTTACATATCCCACAAACAAATACATCGAATTCAAAAAAGCAAGCGACCGCCATGGTAACAACGCTGACGCCGGCCGTTTCTGAAGGTGAAGCGCAGCAGCAGCAGGATGATGAGTCATGGGGGAAGTGGAAACCGAAATCACCTGCACCTGGAGACCCTTGGATATAAATGTCAACGTGTGCGCACCAGTGCGTGTTGCTGCATGGATTTCTTGTGGTGCAACTGCATGTAAGGACAGAAACTCAAAGGCAAGTACCTCCAAGGTTGCTCGACGTGACTTCTGGACATCATCATTTGTGGCAATTTCTTGATCATTTGGTTCCTCATGTGCCCCTGTCTCATGTCTACATATCAATGAATGCTTTTGTGATGATTTCTGTTTTACCATTGGCATCGTGCCCAACCATCACTCAGGCAACTGCTAGCCGGAAAGCCCCAGTTGACCACAAGGACAATGAAGCTGGTGTTTGTGTGCCTTGGTGCATGATACCTGCACATCCGTTGGAGACATGACACATCTCTTTCAACACATTCTTTCATCCATGGTGCACATCATCACTGCGTGTGCATTCTTTCAACATGCGCCTAGGCGGCCCCAGATGACCAGACACCAGCTGACAATCAAGAAGTCAGCAGTGGGGAGGAGACTCATGTGTGATATGTGGAAGATCGAGCTCATGAGGTTGTTTTATTTTCTCATTGAGCACCAAATGATTGTCGGCAGTACCTTTTCTTGCTTCCATGGCTGCAGGACTGGTATCCAGAACCGACGCAGCCTTTGGTAGGGAATCCAAAGGCGCACCTGAAACCAAAAGCGTCAGTGAAGAAGGTGCAGGTGAAGGTGAACAAGAAACCGGAGGTGAAGAAAATGCCCACCCGGCCAGCAGAACCACAGCGGCCCCCAAAGTCGAGCCAGCCACCGGAACCACAAGGGCCCCCGCCGTGGAGAAAGGACTGTTGATTTACTGCGAAATGGTTCTGTGGGTGCACACATTGAAATATTCCAGTTTGGAAAGACTCCAATATATTGACATACATACAGATGCACACACATATATATATAAACATAATAAGTACCTATGTGTAAATATAAATATATATATAAATAATAGATACCTACGTGTATAAATATATATATATACATATAACATGCATACATTTACATACAAGTAAAATTGTGCGCACAAACATATGTATACATGCATGTATGTATGTATGTATGTATGTATGCATGCGTGTATGTATGTATGTATGTCTGTATGTATGTGTTTATGTACGCATGCATGTATGTATGCATGTATGTATGTATATATACGTATATGCATCTATGTGTATATACGTATGTATATATATATGTTTCAATGCTTACATACAAGTATGTATATATACATATATATACATACATACTTGTGTGTATCGTTACTACTTGCCTTAGTGATTCATGTTCTCTGTTTTGCACTGATGCTGCCCGCAGGCTGAGAATGATGTGGTGGCGGTGCAGAATGCGTTCCCACCACCGCCACCACCACCACCGCCGCCGCCCGTAGTGCATGAAAGCGAGCATATGGTGGTGTGGTACAACAACAAGAAGGAGCTCATTAGCAGGGGGATGACAGCAGCACCATGCATCACATAGTACAATATACTGATCCAGCACAGATTCATCATGCAATATAAGGTCGAATCGATCAATTCTCTGTCGATCAATTCGCCAGGAGGTGCACTGGAACGATGGCACAGTATCAGTGGATGGAAAGCGCCTGGAGCAGTGGCAGCTGGCTGAATACCGTGCCAGCTCTTCCACCAGAATGCGCAGCAGGACAAGAGGAGGTGCCATGGTTCGGGCCAGAGAACCTTGTCTTTGTTTATATGAAGATCAGGGTGGCAGTATATGGTTATATTTAAAAAAACAGGTGTGTCAGTCAGGAGTACATAAATAGATAAACAAATAAATAAATACAAACATTTAAAAAAAGTACTTTGTGTATATATATATATATACACACACATATATATATATATATGATAGACACAAGTTAATATCTGTCCACCTGTCACACACAGATAGATACATAGATAGATTGACATATTTGCACATGCTTGCATAAGATTCCTGCGGTTCGATTTTTTTTTGCTTCATGGCACGTGCACAGTCCATGGTGATCTAAGGAGCAATGCGGCATTCTGAGAGAGACCGGCAATGAAGCTACCTGGCAGCAGCGTGTGGTCTGCGCATTTTAGACATGGGCTTTGCATCCATTTGCATCCAAGGCTGAGACATGTGTTTTTGCATCCATATGCTGCCAAGGCTGAGACATGCGTTTTTGCACCCGTGCATCCATGTGCTTTTGCATCCATGTGCATCCGAGGCGGCAGCATCGACCACCATGAGCCCAGAAGAAAGGAGAGCTGTGTTGGGCACTTGCTCCAACATAGCGGCCACTCTCCGTGAAGTAGTCCGGAGACGCTGAAGGGCCTTGAAGGCGGCAGCACAAACTAAGGAAGGCCGGCAATTCCCCATGTGAAAAGGGCATTGAGCCACCAAGGAAATATGATTTGGTGCTGCTGCCGTTCAAGACAAGTCAGCTTAGATTTTAGACAAGCGATAGTCCCAGTTCCAGCCAGAAGCTGGGGTCCGTTGATGGATGTGTGAGGTGCACAACTATATTCGGCTGCCAATTCCTTTGTAAATGCTCAAATGGGCATGTTTCAAATGAACCTTGTCATGTGCCATTCAACACGTATGAAAAAAATACCGAAAATTGCAGAAAATGGTTGTGCCACAAAAATGCAGACCGATCGCAGAGCCCGCATATCGGCGTACTGTCTCACCCGCCAATTCATGCATGCCTGTCCAGTTTCACACATCCATTTTTTTGCTTGTGTTCTGGCATAGGTCGCAAGTGAGGTTTGAGGTTCACTGTAGTTTAAATATGTTTACATAGTTTCTGGCAAACTTGTCAGGTTGTGGTGCATTCAACAGATCATAGTTTGTGTTCGTGCGACCAGCTCGGAACGGCATGCGTTTGCACGTGCATGTGCGGACAGCCGCAATCTATCGGTATTTTTCTTGAAATCAATCAAGTTTCTTTGAAATACTGTTTGAACACCAGCTGATTGTCGGCCGTGCAAATTGGTGATTTATAGCTGCATCAGAAGAATGCATGCTCACTGGGTGAAAGCGGAGTTAATGTAGTTTTATAAGGGGTCCTACTAGTGATGCTTTTATTGCATTCAAAAGAACCCAAAAGATATTTACAAAAGCATTGCATATTGTATATTTGGATAAACTTCAGTTTTCACCTAATTTGGATGACATCCGAGAGACAACATTCCCCGCGCTCCCGCATGCGGCGCTCTGAAAAGACAGTGGCTTTCAAGCCTAAGGTTTCGGATTTGTTTGCATGTCCATCTACATCTACACAGCATATACCCCCAGCACTGCAAGCGAGACGATGCCCAACTTGCTTTTGCATGGGTTCATGATAGTTGCATGTGAATTTTATCCCTAAAAGCTGCAATCAAAACGGTGGTTGTTTGTATGTGTTAATATCAATGTAAATAGATAAGTAAAAAAAGAAAAGAAATAAATAGATAAATAAATCAATATATATATATGTAATGTATATTCCACCCTTTGTTGTGGCTTTGGCAATCCACTGCCTGCTGCAAGCCAGGACTCATCGCCCATGAATGGAGCAGGCCAAACATGTCGTTGTTTTGCTGGCATGAGGTTCACAAAGTGTGTGACATAGCTTTGTTAACATTCCAGTATGGTTCTGTTCGGTTGTGGGACATGACTTGGCCGGAAAATCCATATCACTGCACATGGAAATGTTTCACAAAGTGCTTTTATGTTTGTAGCTCCGCTCATGTCACACCACCGCAACATGTCAGGTGTGACCTGCGGCAGCTCGTCTATTGGAGGCGTCATGTATTGATCACCAGCATGCTGGGCGGGCACCGCTCGCGTGCAATGGCATCTCTTCTAGATCAGTCAGCGCCATTCAAATGTGCGCCAATGTCATTTGTTATGAACAGTGTTCTCGTTCATATCATGGAACTCCATCATGTTTCAATAAAATCTACATGTAGAAAATTTATCTACATAAAATATTCACATGTATATATATATATGATAAACATCCCATGTCAGTGGCAGAGTGGCAGAATAGACAGTATCTGGTTTCGACATGCATGCACGTGTCAAACACACCTTTTTCCATACTGGAATAAGCTCGGCATACCAGCAAGCGACCTTCTAGTGATGGTTTGTATCATGATGGATGGTTTTCACCAACCAAACATGACGTGATGCAGGGAATGCAGGCTGCATGCGAGCGGCCAATCAGCATGCTTCTGCAATCCACTTGCCTGCAATGCAGCAGGGGCTCACGCAGGTTGGGCCGTTCGTTGTCATGGGTCATGAAGTTCATCCGTTTTGGAATGCATGTTGGGCCGTTGCTCGCATGCAGTGTATGTGTGACTTTTATTCCAAAACCTATTGCCATTCCAAACGTTCTTTCGGTATTGGACAGCAACTGGATGAATGCGCTCATTCGCTCCAAGTTTAAGTGATCTGAAAGGTGTCATTGAGCTGCAGTCTTGTACATCAGGTGAGCTCGCTCAAACCTGCTGGGACAATCCCGAACCCAGCCATGGATGAACGTATGAAGGAAGATGTGCGGCAGCTGCAGACCTTCTTGACTAACCAGGAGCGCCTGCTGTCTAAGGAGCAATTTGAGCAGCTCAGGGAAACGCAGTATCAGTCAGTATTGAAGAGGGTCGGCAGCCATCGTATGGGCTGGGAAGGCATCAATGCCTTGTCAGGGCTGATTGAGACTGGGCCGTGGACGGATGAGCAGAAAGCTGGTCTCGGCATGGCTTTGGGCGAGTGTTCCAAGGATGTCGCCTCATGTGGCAAGAAGTCTAGGCCAAACCAAGTCTGTCCTGACTTTACTCCCTTTTGGAGTCAGGAGGATGTTTTGGTTCTACGTGCTCCAGAAACTTCACTGGTGGGGAAGTTGGAGCAAATTGCAGCAAGGCTCGTGACTAGTCAGCATATTAAACTTATAGAGGTTCTTCCCACACACATGGCTGATGTAGAGTCATCATTTACCTGGACTATACATGCTGATGTATATCTTTATATCATGATGTTGTTTCCAAGGTGAAAATCGGGATGATGTGGGCCTCAGAGCTGTGTTATGGAGAGATCATGCGCTCGGCGCAAAGCTTGGGACTCTGTGTCGACAACTCCACCGAGAATCTCAAGCAGCTGAAGAGTTACGTCCGTCGGCGACGACGCCATGTGAAGTTGGACGACAGCCTCTTTCAGCAGAAATTTGTGACATTGGAGGACATTAAAGTTCCGGAGCCTTATTCAGATTCTCCGTGCGCGGAGATGGTCACAAAGGGAAAGGACAGATCAACTCTGTTCAGTGGCCACTTGCGAGGCCCCAAGTTTCTCGACAAGGTTTGGTGTACCGCAATTCATTTTACAGTTGGGCTGAGCTTCAGGTTCTGAAGCTTTTGCATGATCCGTTTTTTACCTCATGACAACACGTGGGTTGCATGTCGAAGGATGTTGTTTACAGCTCATTGTATTGCAGTTCCTTTTTCGTGTTGGCAGATGGCCGTGCTAAGGAAAGAGGGAGCGAGTGCGGCTACCTCTTTGGCCCTTGCCCTCCCGGGTGCGGAGAAGTCTGCTTTGGCGCCCTTGAAACCTCTTTTTGATCTCCTCGCGCCTTTGCTTGAGCAAGCTAATGCTCCCCGAAGCTCCAAGGGCCATGGTGCTGGTCTCGCAAACTTGCAAATCTTTCCGGGCAAGCGGCCAGGGCGTGAGCCCTCCAGATCGCCACGGTCTGAACTAAGTGAGGCGAACGATTCACAGGAGCAGCAGCCATTGCAAGCTGCACCTGCACCATCACCGATGACTATGATGGTTCCAGCTAAGTCCAAGCAGCCTGATGAGCCAGGGATGAGTGATGAGGAATACGAGCCCGAACAAGATGCGAAACTCTTTGCCAAGGCCAAAGAGGACAGAAAGAGGAAACGTCTTGAGGAGAAGACCGAAGCTGCCCAAGAACAAGGTGATGAGTCCAATGGCAAGCCCAAGCCTTCTGCCAAAGCAAAGGCTGGCTCAAAGGCTAAGGCAGAACCAAAGGCCAAGACACAAGCCAAAGCAAAGGCCGCATCAAAGGCTAAGGCAGAACCAAAGGCCAAGACAGAAGCCAAAGCAAAGGCCGCATCAAAGAAGAAGGCAGACTCAACTTTGGCAAAGGCCAAGGCCAAAGCGAAAGCATCAGCCAGCAAAGAGACAGAGAAGGAAGAAGATTCCTGCCAAGAAGACGAGGCAAGCGCCGCCAAGGCAGAGACCGAAAAGCCCGTCAAGGCAAACGCCGCCAAGAAGACGCGGCAAGTGCCGCGGGTCTTCACTGGCCCGGAGAGACCGCCCATCATGAAGGATGGTGATCCGACGACTCACTACCTTCAAGGAAAAGTCCACCGCAATAGCAACTTGCACTGTTTCTTCGAACGGTTTGCCTTGGAACTTTGCTTTGACATGTTTTACTCCACTATTAAGTCGTTTTCAATAGTTGTGACTGGTACCCTCTTCTTCTCCCCGAGGCGGCTGTAAGAAGTTCAGGGTCTTCTTGCAGGCTGGTGATAGACAGGACAAGGCTGTCAGCTACAAGAATGATGAGTCAGCCGCATGGGCAACCTGCTGCAAGCTCATCGAAGAACATGCCAAAAAGCTGGCGGCTGAGAACGTCGACTGAGCTGCGGTCAAAGTGAGATCAGAGGTGTGTATGGATTCACCCGAAGGGTGTTTGTTCTTTGCATGCATTCTGTGGGAATGCGCGGGTTGCAAGGAAGCCGTACCTGATTTCAGTGCTGCTCCATGTCATACAGTCGCAACGCATTTCCAGTGGCGTGAGACTGTGAATGCTTTGGAGCTGCCCGACGTTCACGGGCGTGGTGTTGTTTTAAGTTTGGAGAGCCATGCCAAGTGCCGGCTTGTGGGAAACATCAACGCAGACCTCATCGCGCTTGAGAAAAGGATTCATTGGAAGACCATGCATTGTCCCAGTCCCGCAAGCGTGACAATATTTCAAAGAGATTACCAGGTAGAATTCATGTTATTTTCCATGGAGCCATATAGCTGAGCTTGCTTTCAATCGAGCGTGTGGTCTTCAGAATTCAGCTGATTCCTTGTGAAGCTGTACTGTGTATAGTCAGTATAGTCATTTATCGTTTTTTCAGGTGTGATTGAAAGCACAACTTGTTCAGGCTTGTGGAGCTTCTATGAACCTGCTATATGCTGCAAAAGGCACTTATTGGGTGCATGCATGGGTGCCATGCAGTATATTGAGATTTGTTTTGCCGGTTTGTTTTGCCGGTTTGTTTGCCACCTCAAGGATGCCAAACAAGCAGCGAACTAGCTATAGCCAAGTTGACTCTCCAGCATTTCAACATAGTTCCATGCCAGCAGGGCGAGTATGACATGGATGCTGTTGGTTTATGTGAGAGCTCATGTGCATACATATGTATATAATTGTATATATGGATTATGAATTTAGCAAGACGCACCTTGATGCGCACGTTTCTGCAATTTTTGAGGACCAAGAGGTGCAAGAAACGTGCAAAAAGCGAGGCGGCCTCAACATGGCAGCTTCATCTTCATCTGTTAGCCTTTCCAATTTGGGAGGCGGATCATATGTTAGCAACGCGGCCTTGGCCAATGTTCTGAAGAACATCAAAGAAGACCCCACAGTGCTCGAAGCAGGGTCCAGCCGCTGGGCAGTGAAGAGGAAACGAGAGAAAGATGTGAGGGTGTCAACCTTTTTCGGCCCTTTGATGCAAAGCATGACCCTGTCCATGCTTGATGGATCGAATATGGAGGCGTGGTTTGTGCATCCAATCTGCCTCCTTGATCACCTCATCCAAACATCTGCATGGTTTGCGGGGCTGATGGCATCAACGATGCAGCAGTTTCCTGGAGAATGGAACCTTGTTTGGTACGCGGATGAAGTGACACCAGGCAATGCACTTCGTCCATTAAACCACCGCAAGACGTTGACTGGCCAAGATATTTGCACATGTTTCTATTTTCCCGGTTTGGGTCACAAACTCATGTCAAGCTCTTTTTTTTTAAACAAATTTTGCTTGTATGCTATGCTTTGCAAGCTCATGCACCGAGGTGGTCTGTGTATTGGACGTTTGCCGAGTTTCGCCAACACCTTCAAAATGATTTGGCCTGGTTCACCTTCACATGTTTGCGAACTGATGAGCTGAAGGAGGCACAGCCACAAGTGTGTGTGTTCTTTTCAAATGTCGTGGGTCATGCCGGTTATACAGAGTTGGTCCATTTACTTTCAAAACCTGCTGGGCTCTTTGCAAGCTCGCGGGGATCTTGTTGTTGAGACCACAAAAGGAAGGACATGTCCTTCTTCAGGTTGTTGCATGGTGTTCATGACGCGTCCCAGGTTAAGGACGGCTTATCCCAAGTGATGCGGAACATGGCGAAGCTCTTCCTGCTCGATGTTCCCAGCTTCTCAGCAGGATTCCTTTTGAAGGACATGCCGAGGATGTTGACAGCTAAGCTGAGAATAGTCATCTCGGACGCTGACGCTCTCAAGCAGATGTTCCAGAACAAGGGAGCATCTGGGAGCAAGCCCTGCATACGGTGCCGCAATGTAGTTTGTTGACTGCAATGATGTTGACGTGTTTTCGCTTTGGTGTTTGGTGGACAGGTGGGTGATATCATGAGTCTTAAAACTAAATCCGTCTCATGGTTGCGGTCTATAGATAAACAAGTAAGTGACCAGGTGCTGCACCGGGATGACCTCTGGAGAAATTCTGATCGCCTCATCAGCCTTGCTGAACATGATGTGAGCAAATTTCAGCAGCACACTGATGCCACACTGTTCAAGGCGTGCGATCACCTAAGGCAGGGTGACGAAACCATTCGGGGACATTGCAAAGTCTTTCGTGTTTGTTTGCTTATAAGCATGCTTTTGGATGAAATAGAATTTGTCGTTGTTTGGCTGCGCCATGTTGATGCAGGGCCCAGAGCGCCCATTTGGGCAAAATGAAGTTCGCAGAGCTGGAGCAATCCCTCGGCATCTCCTATTCTCCACAGGGCCTTCTGTTCGATCCTGTACGGACCCATGTCCGGCCACTGCAGTGCCTCCAGTACGACTGGATGCATTGCCTGGTGGTGCAAGGAGTGGTGGTCCTTGAGATCAACCTCTCCTTGCATCGCCTGGCCGGGCATGGGTTCACTCCAGTTGCTCTGCGGAATTGGCTGAGCCTTTGCCTGTGATCAGAATAACGATATTGTTTTCGATTCCTTTTTCTTTATCTGTAAATAGTTGTCTCCCTAGACGCACGCACACACATACATATATATATATACATAGACACACACACATATATATATATGTGTGTATGCATGTATGTATGTTAAACGCAAGAAATATTTTGCATGTGTTCAACTCTGCAGGGCAAAACTGGTGTGGCCAGACTACATCCAGAGCTCTGGAAACACTGGAAAGGATTGCTTTCGCAAGAATGCTGAGTTCAGTTGCAGTGCCAGCGAATGTTTGAGTCTCTATGGCCCTATCCGGCATTTCTTGAGAACTTTGAATCTTGATAGAAGCGAGGATGCATCAGTTCGTCTGACTGTTAGATCTTTGGTTCTGGCGTTGAACCTTCTTGAATTATGTCATTCATCCATGCGTGGCCCGATCTCCTCTGACACTTTGCACAAGTATGTTGTCGATCACCTGAAAGCTTTCAAGCTGGCGCATGGAGAAGAATCCGTTCTGCCAAAACACCACTACATGCTGCATGTCGCTCAATCCATGCGCGAGACAGGTTATCTCCTAAACTGCTTTGTGTTGGAGAGAAAGCACAAGGGCATCAAACTTTATGCCAACAATCGGCACACCGTAAGTCCTGATTGGTCCAAGCAGCTCTTGGAACAGGTCACCTTGTCTTACTGCCAAAGACTAGCAGAACATGAAGAGCCATTGGAGCATGATGCAGTGTTTTTGGCAGGAGCTGTTCAGGATGCACCTGCAGAAATCAACCAATCTTTTCAGGATGACTTTCCTGGCTCTGCGCCAGTCATGACTGCATTGGGTGCCTCTGTTTGCGGGAACATGATCAAACGGGATGATGTGGTGACTTTCGCAACGGATACTGGTCAGACAGCTCATGGCCAAGTGATGTATCATTGTGAAAGTTCGGGACATTTAGTGTCGATCATCTCAGTTTGGGAATCCTTGTCGAAACATCAGTTCCGATGTGGGGACAGCGTGTTGAGATGGGTAGAGACAAGGCGCATCAAAGGGAGCGTAATATACCAGCCTTTGCCTGACAATTCGGCGCTGGTGATCCCTCATGCCGTGTGAAATATTTGACATTTGCTTTTCTGCCATGTAGAGCAGAACATAATTGGTTCAAATTGCGTGGCAGCGAACTGGCTGCCGTACAAAGCCGTTGGATCCATGCTCGCGGCAAAAAGGTGTATCACTTCAACCATTCCGTGTATAGTATACATAGAAACAAGACACGCGGTTGCTTCAATATACTTTGCTGGCTTTGGATCGTTCAATCAGAGTGAGAAAACAAAGATAGAAACCATGACCAACTTCCCTGTCTCGCCATTTTCCAATCTCTGTTATTGTCATATATGTTCTTTGGCCTCTGCATGGAGGCCCATGTGATCGGTGGAGCTCTAGCTGAATCCTGAGTGATGCAGAAAACATGAACTTCTGCGCTGGGGTTCTGCCACGTGATATGCTTCTTTTGAGCCTGATGTGAAAGAGTTCCATCAATTCCGATAGTCCGGCCAGTCACACAAACTTTCCTCTGGTTTTTCATGTGCCACATATTAGTTTTTGGACTGCAACCATCATGTCAAACACATCAGCATGTTTTTAAAAAACACATGTCAGCTGCAACCATCTATACCAAGTATGTGGGAAAAGTATAACGCTTCCGAAGCGTGTGAAATCACAGGTGAAAGCACTCACGGGCGCGAAACGTGGGGTTGCCGAAGTCTCTCTGTTTCCGTGAGTGCAGCATATCTTCGGAAGTTGTCGAAAAAGGAGCACAGGAATGTATAGCGAGGGCTCGGTTTCACAAAGAATTTTTTTAAAAAACAACATGATCGAAACACTTTTGGCGCGTTTGGGGAACCTGCTGGTTCGACTTATAAGTCAAACATAAGTCGAAATCGTCCGACTTATAAGTCGAACATGTCCTACTTATAAGTCGAACATGTCCTACTTATAAGTCGAACATGTCCTACTTATAAGTCGAACACGTCTGACTTAATAAGTAGCACAAGTCCAACCGTAAATACTTACAAGTAGACGACAACTAGGTTGTCGCACTTACCTAAGTCAAACCATAAGTCTAGCATGACTGACTTAGTAAGTCCAACTATAAGTGATACAGTAACTGGAACGATAACCATGACAAGTATAACAACTAGTTATAAGCAGGGCCGCACCTCCAAGAACCCATCGGAACAATATCCAAAATATTGCAAAATCGTATCAAAACCATATCAAAATCGTATCAAAACCGTATCAAAATCGTATCAAAAGCGTATCAAAATCGTATCAAAATCATATCGAAACCACAAAAACCTTCGACAAATTGACCAAAAACCTGTCCCTGGGCTGTTTCTGTTTCTTTTTTTGAAGCCAACTCACTGGAACCATATCAAAATCATATCAAAATCGTATCAAAATCGTATCAAAAT